AATATCATTACACCATCCTCGCTCTAACCCCTCATCAGCCTTTGTACTTTGTTCCTTACAGTCAGATTGAAATTCCCTCAGCCAATAAAGCAAACTAATTCAAATCATGACTTAATCACGGCTTGGCCAAACTACTGCATAGGAATGAAATGAATGCCCTCCCTTGATTAATACTAAAATCATTGAATTATAAAATCAGTTTTTATAATTTTTATGATATACCAAAATATTCTTGGATTATTAACTTCGCATTTGCCAAGACAGTAATTGATAGTTCAGGCAACATTTTCCTCATCAAAGATGTGAGGGTTTGTCGGCCAAGATGTCTGATGTTCAAAAGTTCCTACTAAATGTGTTAATGAAAAGTGAAGCAGAGCCCGTGATTGATGAGACCAGATGGTTTAACCCCTGCTGTCTGAGCCTTGCAGCTGTGGCTGAGGGAAGGTCATTCCAGGGACTGCAGAAAAAATGCAATTTCAACTAAACTGCCTCAGAATTTCATACTTAGCTGGATGCTTTTTGCTGCCATACCTCAAAACACCTTTCTCGTATTAAAACCTTTTCTATAAATGGCTTCTTCAGCGTTTTCTGTTTGCTATTTGCGGGTTGATATCTTTGTTATGGACAATGGGGATGAACTTATAAAAAAATGATATTTTAAAAGGTGAATGTGGGAGAATCTGGAATCATGTTACCAAAACAAATGTTAGATATTTTTATTAATATAAGGACAGTTAACTCTTAAAATGTGTCAACCCATTTATCCATGTACTTTCAATAACTGTTCAGTCCATTTGTACCCTAGTTCTCTTAATGAGCAATCTTCTCTTAACCTTTTCGATAGTATCCTTTTCCAAAAGAATATCTGAATCTAGTGTCTGCTACAAAACATTAGTTTTGCATACATATGTATTTCTGATGTATCACTATGCATCGTTCTTAATACTGTACTTTGATATTTTTGCTGAATAACAATTAGGTGAATTTGAAACATGAACCTTAATATTTCACAAATTATTTATTAAATGTAAGTTTACACTTTCTAAAATAAGTGGACAGTATCAGAAATTGACATGTTCAGTAATCCAGAGTTAATGTGCACTGAATTTTATAACAGGTGTAGAATTTTGTCAAGATATAATTCCTACAATCAGTTGTTTGTCTACATTTAAATATCATTTGAAAATACGCTTTTAAAGTTGCATTTCTAACTTGTAAAATAACTATGCAGCTTAGTTTTCCTCTTATAAGTCTGTGAAATCATGCTCTATGTTATTTTTTTTATAGTTACTTCATTGTTCTGTTCAGCTGTTGGTGTTTTTAAGATTCCATTGTAAATTATTGAGGACTTGGAGATGTCTTGGTATTAAAGGTGCAATATATGTAGAATAAATGTAAAATAAATTCTAAAAGGTTGCAAAACGTTTTTTTGTCCACTCTGGGGCCTTTGACATATCTGCATTTGGCAAATGGAGCAAATTGTTCTTTTTCAGAACTCATGTTTGTGTCTCCTCTGTTAAGTCTCTTAAATTTGTTGATCTTCAATCTTTTTTTTTGGAGAAGCAGTACACTTTAGACGCTAGTTCACAGGGCACACCACTAGATGGCAATGTTTCACTGTGAGTATAATCTAGATCCAAGGCACATACTGTATGCACTTACACTATGCAATGGATTTACTAATTGATTTAATCTTCTGGGACATTGAATAAAAGTCCTAGTTTAAGAGTTCATATTATTAAATTGATATACAGTGACTGAAGGAGACATTTAAGGAGACGTTTGGCTGCTGCTCCTCTCACCAGTTTTTCATTTTTGATCTACTTTTTTTCTTTTTCTTTTCTTCTTTGCAACACTGGTTTCTAATTATTTCTTTTTATCCACTTCACGTTATCTGCTCCATGTCGGAATTTACAAATGCGACTTCCACTTAAATTGTGACTGCTGCCGACTAGCTTCTGATGAAATTGCTCAACTGAAGACTTTCACCACCCGCCACTGCCTTACTCTGGATTTTTTTTCCCAAAAGAAACCACCTTGGATTCATCGAACACGTCTCTGAGGTACATCAACTGCCTCAACTAAAACAAAATTACTTCCTGGTAAAAGAGTATTGCCGTATTATTGGTATCCTACGACCGAGGCGTTACTTCCATCGCGGCACAGGACGCTGTTTCTTTCATTTGTCTGCCAGTGGAGTCTCTATTCCTGCCTTTCGGCGCAAGACTATAAGTCCATCTCGTTCCGGCGCTGACCAAAAAAGTCTTCCCTCGCTACCATGCCTGGAGCACACTCTGCTTCCCTCTGCATCCCCGAGACTGGCCAGATCAGCGCTACTCAACACCCGCTTCATAAACAACAAGGCTCTTCTTTTATGTGATTATATCAAAGGACAAAAAATGGACTTTCTGTGCTTAACCGAAACCTGGCACAGTCAAAACAATGGACTAGTCCCTCCTGGGTATGGCTTGTTTGACCTTCAGCGTCTCTCAGGCAAGGCGGGGGCATCATTATTATTTACAAACTTTTTTACAATTTAAGTCCTGTTACTATACATTCCCCCTCTTCTTTTGATTGCCTTGTTTCAAATGTTTCTATCCCCCAATCTACTATCATTGCCATAATTTATAGACCACCCAAACCCAGCAAAGCCTTTTTAGGTGGGTTTGCTGATTTACTCTCATTTTCATGCCTTAAGTTTAAAAGGATCCTTACTCAAGCAGACTTTAATGTACACATTGACTCAAGGTCTTCCAATCTGGCTGAAGACTTCCTTTCTCTATTGGGATGCTTGATCTTACTCAGTTTATTTGTACCCCTTCACATAACAGAGAACACATCCTAGATTTAATTATTGTAAATGACTCTTTTGTCTCCTACTGCTCTTCCCTTGATCTAGGCCTCTCTGACCACTTAGCTATTCTTTTCAATCTAGAATTACCTGTTTCTAACACTTTCCCCTCACGCTCTGTAAAGTTTTGCAACTGGTGATCAATGAATCAGCCAAGGTTTGCCAATTCTGTTCTATCCTCCTTATCTTGTTTCTCATCCTCTGACCCTCTAGAGGAAAAAATACAAACAGTGCTCTTTTATCTACCCTTGACACCTTTGCTCCTCTAAAAACTGTTGTCAGTTACACAGTTGTCCTAGTTATTTACTGAGGTGCATAAGTGTAATACCTCTAAGTAGTTCTGATGTGATTTGTAGATACAGTAATTGTACCTTTAAAGTGAATTCATTGTGTAATGAACTGTAAAAGACCTTTAGAAAAACCCTTTACATGTGTAATTTAGGAAATAATGAGGTTAATTTTCTGATTTACTAATCAGGTTGAAACAAAAAGCATAAGGCCCTCCAGGAACTCCTTGAGACCCCCGTTCTAGCTCATTTGGTTGGAAGGCATCTCAGAATCACATCCATATTTTGACAATATCGCTGGGTACCTAGTTCCAAACTCCCATACCTCACTGCCTAGAAAAAAATATTTTTGTTTTGTTATTTTTCCCAGTACTTCAATGCGAGTCCACTAGTTCATATTTCACTGTTGGTTCTGAAGAAGTCCAATGTGTTGACTTTGATGCTTAAATCTCTCTCTTGTAGACATCTTTTTCATGACTAAATATGATATAGTTCTTTTTGCTGGCAAATAGTCAATTGAGATTGATTACTGAACAACTATCTTATTTGCAATATAGTAATTATATCTATCCAATAATGTTTCTTTTGTCACCATATTTCTGTTAGCCATGTTTCTTTGATTCTGTTGTAACAGCATACTAATACAGCTACTACAGTACTTCTCTTTAACTCCTAATGTGTTCTTAAAACTCCAGCCATTTCAATACAAACATTTAATTACTTAGTCCTTTGGTGTTTTGCTTTTTGTTTTGTTTTGGGGTTATTTAGGCTCTACCTCCTATGTAAATTCCTTACATATTTTCTTCCATAGTTTCTGAATAATTTACCATATGCTGACCGGTATCCTTATCATTTAGATGCAATCCCTTGTGTATGTTTACACACTGCCATAATTACAGAAAGTTTTATGGTGAAAATAAACATGGCTTTAATTCCTTTTTTACATGTTTCCAAGATCTTTGAAATTGTTTCTTATAGAAAGTGTGCTGTTCATGCTGACATTTGTTTTCCTCGATAAGAACAGCAACAAACTGGGTTACTACCCATATTTGCTTGAGACCTGTCTGTTTATTTTTTAAATAATATTAGCTAGTTCTGCTCCAGGGAGACAACATATCATTATTGATTCAGGGTCCTTCATGCATATCTCACATGCAATAGACAATTTGTAGATGACAAAACAATCTGTCCGTTTAAGGAAAACAGAAAACAAAGGTTTGAACACCCTCGGTATGGCCTCCCGGCCACCATGATCCTGAACTGGATAAACAGTTCTGGAAAGAGATGATGTGATGTGAGGTTTGAGCATTCTTACTAAATCAATATGCTGATACGGAAGATAGCATGCTCTATGATAAACATGACATGGTGCCCAGGCGAGCCTTTGGTTATGTAGAATAATGGAAACTTATTTTAGCAGACGTGATTTGAAATTGTTTTGGTTCTAAAGAACATGTAGATAAGATAAAGATAAGATTACTTTATTAGCCCTATACAATTTCTTGCATTAGAAATTCATCTTTTCACATACCCCAGCTTGCTCTCCATGAGACACACAGGCACACAGACGGGGAAAGAGAAGCTTGGGTGTATGATGTGTAAGATCCCCACTTAATTTACATAAAAATTCAAACAAAAGTTCTATAATAAATAAATATACTACTTTGAACTGATTTATGAAGTGTGGAGTCTGCCACATGCATGTACTTTTTGTACAAATCCTGTATTGCCGAGTGCCACATACAGAGTCTTCTTCCAACACTTTGTTTGACCCATCTATCAAACACAAACTCACACAAACACAAACTTGTGTTGCTTTTAAAGGCACTCTGCACATGTAATTGGGTTTTCTTTTGTTGCAGTGGGAAAAACTTCAGATGACAACAAGTGAACGGAGAAAGATTTTCTGTTCTGTCACATTCCACATCATCGCTATTACTTGTGTAGTCTGGTCCCTTTATGTACTAATTGACAGAACAGCTGAAGAGATCAAACAAGGAAATGACAATGGTGAGTACTGGTTTGCTAGGTATGACAAAATGTATTCCAAGGTGAAACATTAAGTGGTAAGTTAGGTGCAGAAGATAGAACAGAAATGTTTAAGAACTGAATTAAAACCGGTAATTGTTAATGAATTTATATTTTATTTGTTGCAAAACTGCAATTAATATATACAAATGTTATATCATTCATGCATTTTTTTATTCCAATAAAATAGTAGTGAAAGGGAAGGTCAGGATTTATCCACTTTTTTAAAAAACAAAAGATTGGTGAATTTTCTGTTAAAAGTCTATAGCAAACCTTTCAAGTTGAAAAGTATGTTTTTTGTTAAATGTAGCATAGAAATGCAAGTCTGATTGTAGAGAAATCTCATGCTGAAGAACACAGGAAAAACAAGAGAATGAGAGGCTCCTGAGTTGATCTGCCATAGCCTGGCTGTATTTGCACAAGACGTCCAGTATGAAAACAATAAGATGGTGTAATGTAATGCATATTTCTTTCAAGGAATGCATTTATTAATTTTATTAATGCCATGCAAACTTCTCAAACATCTTACACACAGGAAGGAGTTACAACAAATGTAAGAGCATCAAAATATTTACTTAGATTAGGAATGTTCAAACACTTGATCAAAACAATTCAAGATAAACAACATTATACCTAAGATGCAAATATTGATCTGTTAGATTGAACTGTCATTGTTGGGTGCTCATTATGATTAAAATTATTTTCCTATCTATACAACTACATGAGGCTAAAAGGCTACTTTTTGTACTTCAAAAATACAGATCGTCAGGATTAACTGTTAGTTTTAAACAAAACAGTTACAATTTCAGTATTCAATTTCACTATTGAATGGTGCTGCTGCATAAAGAAGGGAAAAAATACTACAATTATAAATAGCTGATACTTTTGCACAGAGATGTATATAAAATACATAAAAAAACATCAAGAGCCATTGTACTAATGAAACATACTCCGAAAACACAACTGGCTTGGATGTTGATTTTTATAGTTCATGCTAGTAAAATGAGTATTAGAATTTCAGATAAAACAGGGTTGCTTTACTTTCTTTTTAGGATACTTTTTTATCAGATTTGAATGTTTTGCTTCTATATTAATGACCGTGAAAACAATATGTGTAGATTGTGTTAGATTTTGCAAATATCATATGAAATAATTAATATATTAATATACTGTAGGGTACTTGATGGAAATTGTTACTCGACACTATTTGGTAGACATTTGTCCGGCCACAACATAATGTAATAGATTATATATACAGTATACATGTATTTTCTGTCATTGACTAATGAAAAGCAAATGTAACTTTCTGCATCGTTGCAGGTGTGCTTGAATGGCCCTTTTGGACAAAGCTGGTTGTTGTGGCCATTGGATTTACAGGAGGCTTGGTCTTTATGTATGTTCAGTGCAAAGTCTATGTGCAGTTATGGAGACGACTCAAAGCATACAACCGAGTTATATTTGTTCAGAACTGCCCAGACACAGTCAAAAAGGCTGAGGAAAAGACTGCGACCAATAATCAGAGCAATGGAAACAAAGACTCTGTGGCAGTGCCAGTGTCCCAGACAGAAACAAATTCTCACAGACCAGCTGGAGGGGCTGTTCCTGACGTAGCACCTGTCTGACAGGCTGATTTGTTCATTTCTTCTTTTGTATGTAAGAACTGTGAAGGGTTTTGAACATTTCACAAACACTACAGGCATTCAAAGCAGTGACTGTGAAATCCCAACTGCTTATCAGCTGGATCACCCGAAAGAGAAAATTGGATAACAACCAACACATGCTTAAAGGAAGGAACATAAAATTGCCTCTTCTCAGTATTCCCTAGTTACAAAGGGATAATCACACGAGGTATTTATAGAACTGAACTCATAGGGGGCATCCAAAAGAAAATGTTACATAATTTGCATAATGTATTTGCAGTTGAGTTTAGTGCTGAGCTTCAGCATTTTTTAATATTCTATTTGAAAAATGCTCATTTCATTTTGAAAATCCCATATTGACATATACTTAGTCAACGATCAAGTCAAGCCCTAGCTACAAAAACCGTAGACAAATACAAAATACAAGATTAGGGATTCCTTTCAAAATAACTCAAGTTTTCCATTGTAATATTTAGAAAAACGTTGTGACAAACAGGATTTATTTTAAGGACATTCCAAAAGTAACAGTGTATGTTTATTTTGTTTTTCTTACAGAGAGAGGTGTGGTAACTTCTTCAAATTGTATCTACAGTCACAATTTGTGGGATTTAAAACGTTATTTTGATGTTATCATATACCAGAATTATGTAACAGGACAAGAACCAAAAAGCATAGCATTTAAATTTCTGTATTGGCATTTTAAAATGAAATGTGTTTAGACACTGAAAAAAATCGGACAAGCTACTATGTTAAACCAAGCTACTATGTAGATCACCCTTATTCACACACTGCACTTCAAGCCAGGCACAATGGGGTTAAATGTCAAATAATTCATCTCTGTTACCTGTTTGCAGACATGACTGAAGGTGTGAAATTACATGTACAAAAAAAAATGGTGCAATAAATTTGTGAATGTATACATTATGTGTTGTCAGAGAAGTGTTACTTTATTTCTTATGGATGAGTAAAAGTATCATAAATGCTGAATGTATTTTCCCTCAGTAAAACACTGCAGTATTGTAAGTCTAGCTGACACAATTATATCTAAAGGGTTGTGAATTCACCATTTAAGTTCCTTTTAAAGGTCTATGAATAGCATTCTTAATTTCCTTAGACATAATTGGGAAAAAACACCATGAGGCCTCAGTGATGTTTTAACTGTTCTAAATACTGTAATACCTATGGAATTTATGCCAGATATTTCTTGAATGGAGTAAATCTGAATAAATGCTCGAACAAAGATGTTCTAAGAGTTAACTAATTATAGGAGTCTTTTTTAACAAATTTCTTTACACGAGGAGATACTAATTTTAGATTCTGGGTACAACTTTCTTACAGGTTGTAGTCTGCCACATTGCAAAATAGATTTATATAATAAATAGGTAATCCCCATCTTAAGGGAATATCATACACACACAAATGTAACTGATTATTTTAATACTGAACACAAAAGAAATATAAGGAGGCTTGATAAAAGTATTGAAATATTAACCCAATGGCCTACTTCTGGATCAGCAGTAAAACAAGAAAATGAGAACACAAGTGGAGGTTAAAAAGAAGTGTGTTTAAGACAGTGAACAAGAGATTCTACTTTACAAAAATTGTGGGAACTTTGAACAAAGTAACACAATACAGATTATCTTAGCATCTTTCAAGAAATGATGGGATGACATTAGTTATTAATGACCAAATCAGCTAGATGGAATAAACTCCTGTTTGACACAAAGTTCATCTTGATAGCCTTGGCCATTATTCTGTAAAATTGTTCTCCAAAATGTTGTATAGAAACACTAGTTGTTTTTATCATGTAAAGGAGTATATTGATGTTAACTTTCAGATACACAATTTGCCCTTTCTTCCTGCTTTAATGTCTCATCATATCTTCAGTCTCCATTTTTATGCCTCCAAATTTCTGTAAAAGCACGTTGACAATAAAGCTCTAAAGATCACCAACTTAATTCCAGAATTGTCTTACATCTCACAAACAGGGAAATCATTGATTTGAAAACACCAGAGAAGTGAAACCTTTGTATCTATTAATGTGCCACTTTGTTTCACTTTTAATCCAAGTCAATAAATACATTAACGATATTGCTGAAATGTTAACAGCACATTTTGTGTTAATAGCAAATTGTTCACCAATGCCCTAAAAAAACTAAATAAGTAAATCTAATTTGGTGTAGAAAAACTCTGAGTCACATATTTACAGTTTGAAGACTTAAGTGAACAAATGAAAATTGGTTTCAGTCTGAGTGAAACCTGCTTGTTAAATACAGTAGTCTGTGGTCTCATCTAAACTCAACGCCAGATTGCTTAATGAACTGCTAAGTGACTTAGTGGCCAGACATTTTACTGCTTAAAATCCAATCTGATATTTCCTTTTATTTTGGTTTTTTTCTTCCCCCATACTCAGTGCAGTTGAAAATCAGACCTCTCTGTCAGGTGAAAGGCAGGTGAAGGCTCAGCTGTTGTTGTTCATGTTGGGATAAACAATATGGGTATTAACAGCACATATCCATACAAATCAAATTCAAAGTCTTTGGAAACAAACAGACCACATCCATGGTCTCAGGGATTGTGCCTTAACCCTGGAAAGACAACGCTACTTATAAGTATGAACAATTTATACTGTAGCTCGTGTGCTGAAGAAGCACTCAGCTGTCTTAGCCACTGGAAACTGGCAGAGGTTATCTGTACAGATGCTTTCTACAGTCCTTCAGGTTTTTTTCAAGCACAAGCTTGAAATTATAAAATAAGCATTTCTAAACTCATCAGGCGCTGCTGTTGACTTTTAAAAGCCTAACGGGAAGCTGTTCTCTATGGAAGATGTTGGGAACCTCTCATTTAAAGCCTGCCGAGATCTGTCAAACAAATGGAACGGAAAGACGCACGGTAGGTGAACGGTTGAGTTAGAGGAAGAGAGGATGGAGATAGAGAGAGGAAAAGCAGAGGAGAAAAAAATCGGCAAAGTCTAAGCAGCAATCCAAGCTAAGTTGGAAGGTCAAAGTTTAGTTCTGCGAGGATCTGGAGGGTGGACAATGGGAAACTAGTGACTGGAGGATGGAGAAAAGGAAATTAGTGATGATGATCAAGCTGATCTGTCAACCTGTCTGAAACAGATCTATTCTATCCAGTGGCGGTAAATCAAATAACCAGTTTCTGGGTTGTAAAAATGTGATTGAACTCTATATACTTTTGCTGCTGTAATTACAATATTTTTCGTTTGGGACATTCTTCGGTTCCTTATATAACCAGGTGCTAAGGTGGTGGTACAGGAGTTAGGAATAGCATCCTCCCGCAGGCTAGTGGCTATCTGCTACAAACCATGATGCCCGTGTCGTGTACCAATCATAAGAGATCTTCTGGAAACACTACCTTTGCATTTTCTCACTTTTCAGAACTAAACATTTAAAAATAAAGAGATCCCGTGTGGGTAAATTTATGCCTTTCTGGAATAAGCGCTATGACAACTCTATAAAAGGATGCAGACAGAAAGGTCAGTGTAATCATGGGTAGAAGAGATGAAATGGGGACCTATTGGCCTGGAGTCTATCTCCTCTGCAACATAAAATCCCTTCTGCTCAAGTTTTCTCTTGATCGCTTCCGCTTCACATTTTCTTCTCCTTCTCCTCGGGCCCAGGAGTGTCAGTGGCTGTGATAGAACGTGAAAAGCAGCTTGCCTTATTTTTAATTAAATATTTAAGTGTTTTTAATTGTGGGACAGTAAGGCACAGTAAGTTTAAAGGGAAGAAAAAAAACAAAAAACATAGCAGGATGAAGAAAAAACATGGAAAGGAACTTACCTGTAAGGAAATATGGACAATTTCTTTGAGCAAGCCTATAGACTACCAAACCACCTTCAAGCTCATAAATGAACTATGGCAGAATCATCTTAAAACTGAGGTAATCACATATGCAGTTGTCATAAAAATGATGTATAACATTTTTGTTTTGGTTGTTGATGTATACAAAAATATCCTTCAATAACAAAATAAAGGTGGCTTTCAATATAGTTTGAGATATATATATATATTTCCTTTGAAAATTATGATTTATTTAATGCAGATACAGATTTCTTTTATAAACCAATTTAAACACTGCTACTTTCTATGTAGATGTACTGGACAAAAATTATCAGAAAAAATAAAAATGCCTTTTTTTGTGTGTGTAATGTTTCTGAATTTGACTACCTTTGAAATACTATATTTCAATATAGTTACTAGAAATTTCAATTTGAATACAAGGCTTTTGTATTTAAACATGCAAAAACCATATGATGGCTATATAGCAATCAAGGTTTACATGTAAGGAGCAAAACATCTTTTAGCTTGAAAGAGGGCAATTGCATAAGATATGTAAGACCCAAAGCTTACAAGAACAGCTTACATTTGCATTCAGATCCATCACACTTCAAACAAAGTAAATAGCTGGAGTTCCTTTTTAAAAAGGCAGAAGTCATATAAATGGGATATTATATACAGCACATCAAAATCAAATGCAGACGATACAGATTAAAGGCGGCAAAAACAAAGAGTTCTCACAAGCTGCGTAGACTGATTAAACGACCACTGCTTTGGACTTTCTTGTCAGAAATATTACAGCATCCACTGAATTAAAAACTGAAGCATTTCATGTATGATTGATAGCATTCAACACAATGAGTAATTCCTTCCTGGATAAGCCTGGATATGTACTTACAAACTTTTATCAGTAATATATAATAAACACCCTTCATGTATCGCCGTAAAGCATGTATTAAATATGTGTTGGCTTTCAATTAGCTGTTCTTTGGTAATATTCACCATACAGGTGTCTTAATATAAACTGCTACCAAAAACGGGATTCACCTTGTATTTCTTTTTAAATTTACTCTTTTAACACTGATAATTCTATTTTTTACTTAAAATATAAAATGAATCTGAAAAATCTGTTTTTTTCCCCCCAAAATTTAGATCTATTAGACCTACTGATCAGGCGTCAAGTGCTGGTGTAATGTAATGACATTCAAATACGAATTTGGGTGGAAAAACTATCAATTTTCCATTTCAGTCCTTTTTTTAACATGCAATCACCGATTTAAACCTTAAACAAGGACCATACTTATCATTATGATTTGATATTTTAACATAATTACTGATCATCGGCACATGGTAACAAAGTCAACTTAGTATGGATAAAATACTTGGAGAAACCAGCAAATTTATTCTATACAAGCAGCACCTTTAAAGACATAACACAAACAAGGATGAAAGCAATTTAAATCATCAGAATTTTTCCACAAAAATGTTGTTTGCGGAAAGGATAACATCCATCCATCTTCGAACAGCTTTTTCCAATTCAGGGCTGCAGGGGAGCCTGAGCCTATTCCAGCAAGCAACGAGTGCAAGCAGGATACACCCTGGACAGGACGGCAGTCCATGACAGGGCAGACAGACCAGACACGTACACACTCAAATCAGGGCCAGTTTTCCCAGAAGCCAATTAGTCTCACGGTATGTCTTTGGACTGTGGAAGGAAACCGACACAAAATCGGGGAGAACATACAAAACTACACACAGTTACCACCCCAGGTCCATCACTGAACCCAAGGCTCCTGCAATGCTAACCACTGCAGCGCCATGCTGCCCGTAAAGATAATGGTACTACGCAATTTCTGAAATCAAGGCAGCACTCCTTCTGCAGAGGTTTTATGCCACTTGTTCTCAGCGATGCAAAAATACAGTCCTGAGGATTTACCTAATTACATAGCAGGTTCCCAAATCCACTGTGGAAGGGGTATTCCAAGCGACCGATTTAATGGGTTTCTTCTGATTCAGAATTGGATTCTTCAGACAAATGATCCTTATCCAACTCAAGTGCTAATTCCTCCTCTGTGTCTTTCTGACTGTTTTCTTTTGCTTTAGATGAAACTCTTCTCATTTTAATATTTGGCAACTTCTTCAGATCTCCATTCCATTCCCTGTTATAAAAAAATAAACGCAAGGCTGAGTTTAACTTACACACTTCACTTTTCAAAACATTTAATTTGATGTACTGCTCTGTTGGTTTTAAGAAAACCAGATGGGCTCTATACTCGACACATTTGACATTTGCTACTGTAAGGAATAAGGAAATTGTGTATTACTAAGGAAAATGTTATATGAATTAAGTCAAATGCAAACCAAATTTTTGGCATTGTTGCAAACGAGTGCTTAATATGCACATTTCTGTGGTACCCAACTGGCAAATCCACCAGAAGAACTGAATCTGGCAGGTTTAGACTTCTTGTTACAATATCACTTATTCAAGCCACAGCAACTAGACTGTAAATAACATTCACTAAGATTATTACATTACAGCTTTGAAATGAAAAACCACATTCATTTTGAGCATAAATATTATAACATAAGAAAAATGTATCGCCAATGCATGGAGAATTTTGACATTTTGTCAAATCCTCAAAGCTTTTTGACATGTCTGTGATTATCATGGCAGTCCTTAGAAACAACATGCTACTTAAAAGCCCATAAAATAACTTCCAAATGCAGAAAGCTTGACCTTTTGAACTTTTAATATGGCTTGAAATTCACTTTAAAAACAATCCTTTTATTAATTATATTTTGCGTTTAAAAAGACAAAAGCGGAACAGTGCACTTTATCTCCGGAAGTATTTTCCACCATTAGCTAGTGCTGGCATAAAGCTAGAAAATATAATTGAAAGATGGCATCACACAATTATAATTTTTTCAAGTCATGGCTATGTCAAGAATTGGTGATGTTTCTGTGGTTCTGCAATATTTGTGATTCTCTGTGTGCTGATCCTACACTAAAAAAGCTTCAAGAACAAGGGACTAACAATGAACAATCTGGTATAGTTAGATATGATGCACTAGTTTGTGATGACACGTAGCCACCTGCTTCTTATGCTCAATTTGTATATACAATGATTTTGAAATATTTTAATTTGCATAATCTTAAAAGACCCAACATCCCTTTTGTTTCTAGTTTTAGAGCATGTGTACCCAACAGAGCGTCTTCAAAATCATGCAAGCTTCAAAGCTTTTTCTAAATATATCTGTGTATATTTTATATTTTCCTGACTCTAATGATATGACAGATATGTTTGAAAGGCATTTTTGCCTGTGCATCATCACGATTGATTATTCGTCCAAGTAATGAGATGTGTCTCACCTGAATGCCTTCAGATGTTTACTGTTTAAAATATCCGGAATTTCTAGAAGATTTAAAAAAAATCAAATGAACATATACTCCACTTGCAGAGTTAATTATAAAATGTAAAACTACATAACTAAATAATATTTTTGAACTTGAATGTCAATAACTTAATACATTAAAACCTAGTTCAAGAGATATTCAATAAATCTACTATACTAAGAGATGCAAGCTGTGCAGGTCATTTCAAATCTTAAAAAATCCGAGCAATGCTAATCTATACACATACTAACATACTAAGAAAATTTAGACAACAATAACTTATATCTGAAAGAACCACTAGTGTGCAAGGAAGACTAGTGTATTGAGTTTCTTATTTTCTTTTTAGACATAGCATGTTATAATTTGGAAGTTTCAAGCAATCTCATGACTAAATAGCTCAAAAATGTATCTGCTTAAATTTGATAATAATTTAGTTCATTGCATCAGGTCAAAAGTGAACAATGAAAATGTTATCCGAAAGAAAAGAAAAAAAAATCAGACCTATTCCGTATCCCTCATACTGCATTCTTTCCCGTTCAATGGCTTGTTTGATGACATTCTCTCGGGAGCTGTGTTGTCTTCCTTGCCTGCCTTTAACGCTATTTCCTAATTCTATCTGTTCCAGTTCATTGTCAAATCGATGCAAGTATCTGTGAAAAGGAGGGATGAAAAGAAGAACTCAATAACTACAGGACAATGGAAAATAATAGTATGCTTTCAATTTTGCCTGATAAAGGTCAAGACAAAAATAGGTCAGATCTTATGAAGACTAACAACAATAATAATAATAATAATAATAATTGCTTACACTTACATAGCGCTTTTCTGGACACTCCACTCAAAGCGCTTTACAGGTAATGGGGACTCTCCTCCACCACCACCAATGTGCACCATCCACCTGGATGATGCGACGGCAGCCATAGTGCCCCAGAACGCTCACCACACATCAGCTATCAGTGGGGAGGAGGGCAGAGTAATGAAGCCAATTCATAGATGGGGATTATTAGGAAGCCATGATTGGTAAGGGCCAATGGGAAATTTGGCCAGGACGTCGGGGTTACACCCCTACTCTTTTCGAGAAACGCCCTGGGATTTTTAATGACCACAGCGAGTCAGGACCTCGGTTTTACGTCTCATCCGAAAGACGG